GAATTCGGTCATTATTTCGCCCACACAATACCGATCATTCTATAAATAACGGATAAATTACCGTCCAATCTACAGTTCAACCGGTTTTTCTGTAATACAGCGCAGAAAACTTCTATAACTGACCAAAATTGCCGAAAATTCCCCAATATTAATGAAAGCAAACTCTGTGCAGTGAGCTCTGTAGTTCCATGAAATGACGTTTCTGACCTTTGAACCCTTGTGCTCCCACGAAGGATACAATTTCCATATTTTTCCAACGAGAGATATGTATTTTAGTTTATTATAACAACACAACAGAAAAAAACAATTCATTAATAAATGATTCATCAGCAGCAGTTGCGAGGGTCAGTATGCAAGACTGGTTAGGTCACCGAGGTTACTGGCCCATGTGTGTATGCCAGGTGGGACGCCGGGATATCTTGTCAAAGCCGGTATTGTCCCAGTGAGCCTATATATAAGTAATCATTCAGAAATAGCATCAGCAATAAAAAAAAATGGTAACAATATAAATTAAATATAAACGTGTGAGTCAGCAATTTAATATTTTAAAGTCAATAGTGCAAGTCGTGATGTTACCAGGTCACGTGACGTTTCTGAGTTCCGGCAGGTCCAGACAATGGACCTTTCCCCGAGCACCGATTTCCTTGTTTACTTCGTGACATTGGCCAATCAGCCAGATGCAAAAAGTGACGTAACAATGCCCCCTTTTCGCATCCGCTCAGACAGTTTTCTCACTCAGACAGATTTTCAAGCGTGGTCGTAAACATTACCTCGTTTTTGCGTTTTTGAACTCTATTCGTTAGTTTTCAGTTGTGTTTCGGAAACTTGAATATAAATCAGATAATTCAATGATCACTTTTTCTTCCTAGGAGTTTTAATTTAATTGCAGTAATAAAAAATCAGTGTAGCTGTGATACCCTAAGCTAAAATTCTTTACCGGTACTTTCAAAAAACAGATTGTTGTATGCGATAAATCATAATGATGGTTTGAAACACATACCTCATTTTACAGGCGCCAACTAGCACAATCACTCTGAAAATAGCCCAAAAAATTTTGCAATGGTAAAGTATAGGAAGAATTCTTCCGGGGTCAAAGGTCGGGGAAAGGTCCATTATGACAATTATCGAGCGCTTAGTTTAGTCTTTACAATTATTTATAATATTTAATTAAATATTATAATTAATATTTGTAATAGTTTTTCAATTTAGTTTTTGTAATTTATTACCGTAGTTATTGGACACGAACCGGGCAATCGGATTATCACACATTCGTCAATATTTGAAAAAAATATTAAATTTAGTCTGATTATCCGATTTTCAAGCATTGCAATTCATAACTCTGATTGGTTACTGGCTTGAGACCTCAAATCAAACAGTTAAAATCAACCCCCTCGAAAAAAGTCGACAAATGTACTTAATTTTAATAATAGTGAAAATCCACCGATAATTTGCGAATCTTTTGACAGTGAATATGACGAAAAGATATTTTTAGGCAAATTGAAACTTGGAGTTTAGTTGGATACATACTTCAATATTAATATGAAAAATTGTAAAATACGCAAAGAATGTCTGTGAATTCCATTGAATAGTCTAAACTTAACGTATAATTGATTGATGAAGTGGATCCGGCTAAAACAGTGGTCGGGAACCCATGGCCATATATGGCTCTTTTCAGTGACGGCATATGGCTTCATGAAAAATCCGAACAACCGATTTATTTCGTAGTGTAGTAGTATCGTTTTGAATATTGTACTTTGAGTTAGTTATTGCAAACTATGTGATACATCTTCGTATCATTGGTTGTACGTTAATTCTCAATTCAAAAGATACTTATCCTATATATATCTTCGAATTTATATTCATATAATAAAAATATTCATATATTAAAATTTGCATAATACACCCAAACATACTAAAAAGTATAATACACCTAATCCTCGTACATTTCAACATTTTTTCCACACTTTGAACTAATTGTCTTCTGCGTTGTTTGTAGTCTCTTCGGCAAGATAACACAAAAATATTTTCACCAGAAATAACATTCATTGTAATATTTGTGGATTTTTTTTGCTTGTGCCACAACGTATTCACGAGTTCTTCACACAGCCAACCGAGTCTCATTTATCGAACGAATCGAAATGTTTCATATTATTCTAATTTATATCTGCGAGCAGGTGTAAATATATTTTGTGTGCGTTTCTAACCTTGCAGTAGTTAAATCGGTGCTCCAGAAGTATGTGTACCAATATGGAGGTAACTGATTTTGTTCGCCCACTTTACATCGAGTTGTGTAACAGGACGGAAGCCTATGCGCAGGGGTATGTATATTCACTTGGCTAACGCAGATAGTCCCCGAACTCGTAATAGAACTAAAACAAGAGAGCTATGCTCAAATATATGGACACGTAGAGTCACATAATTTTGATGACGTCATAGCGAAAAAAAAAGTAATAGCCTTCTGGAGAAAATTTTTATCTTTAACCACTGAAAATTTCAAAGTAATTGGTCCAGTATTCGAAAAGAAAAGCGACTTTTTAAAAACGTGTCAAAGAACAACAACATAATGTTGAAACGATCGTTATGTCCACTACGTGTCCAACAAAGAGATGAGAGCTGAATTCACGGCGGTACCGGTACCTAACGTAGGTGCGGTACTGAGTTAGCAGTCAGCCAGCATCTTACCTGTACACTGTAGGCCATATACGGTAATTGATCACAGAACAGTTGTTCCCTTGCAAATTTTATGTTGTTTACACTTTAGGACAGATAATTGATCACAGAACAATTCTTCCCTTTCAAATTTTATGTTGTTTCCAGTAGACTCTCATCAAAATAAACAAATATAGTAGGCTACAAGTGCTACAACGCTTGCATTACTGCACTGGTAGGACCGTGAAAGAATAAGTTACGGTAATTTCATTGTGGTAAGACACCGGCACCAGTACCAGTACTGAGCAAGACAATCGATCGCGAAACCGCTTGAAATAAGTGTAAAACAGTGTTCCCATGAGTAAAAATAAATACCGCGAAATTTTGTATGAAATATCATATCTCATAGGATTCATATAAAATTTAAGAATAAATAAAAGTAATAGCCTTCTGGGGAAAAATATAATCTTCACTCACTGAAAATTTCAAAGCAATTGGTCCAGTAATCAACGAGAAAAGCGATTTTTTCGTAACGATACCAAGAAGAAGACAAATAAGAACAAGAACAACAAAAATACCAAAACGATCGTTATGTCCACTAACGTGTCCAATAAGTAAAATTGGAACAAAATTATGGCTTAAACCTAACCTGGTACACATACTACGGGAGTACCATTAAACCAGCACGCCTTCTTCAACCAATAATAATTATTCATCCTGAATGAAACGGGATTAAAAATTGATGTTCCAGAGGTGGAATTGTATGTATGATGTACATTGCAATAATTAGCTAATATTTCCTCATAATCAGGGATAAATTCGTATGCGGACCCGCGAGTAATTTTAACAATGCTAATTTGAAACCTATAATGCGCAAAAGGTTGTTAAATTAACTTCAGTATGTAGAGTATTGTTAATGACGGCAATCGAGAGTATTTTGGAGAAGGCCCAGTCCCGTTAGGGTTGGAGTAAAGAATTCCGTTTGCACCGAAAATTCAAATCCTTCTCAATCTTGACTGGATAATTACTAATGTTGTTATTTCTAAACGTGGCTGCGGTGTTTTCCGGTATTTTTAATTTTTCTACAAATATCTGCATTTTGTGCCCTAGGCCCTTGGTACACAAAATTTCTTTTATTCTTCTTTATAGGTACACTTTTTATTTGTTGCAAGACTCATAAAACAAAATTTATGGTATTTTATTTCTCAGTGTGTATGACATCTTTTCGATTCGTTAACATGCGTTCATTCCATATATCGCCAAACAGGGTCGACTGATTGGGCTAGTCTTGCTGTAAATTTACCTGGTAGGTGGTAACCACGAAGTTGTTTGACGGTTTCTCTGCTAATTTCGCTGCGATGTTCATGGATATTATTAATGAGTTAGGGCAGGGGTGTGCAAACTGCGGCTTAGATGCGACCCGCAAGGAAAATTTGTGCCGCCCGCGGAGAAGTGCCATTTTTGAATAGTGTGCCCGCGAAAGAGTTTAGTTTAGTTAATCTGGTACGTGCGAGTAATTCCAATCTCTGCGCCGCAAAACCTATACCAACACCTAAGTGCCACTGCCATATTAGCTAAGCTAGCTAGCAAAATACATAATATTTTGAAAACGTATTTCTCATTGAATTCGTTCAAAGCCGGTGTGAAAATAAATTTGAATAGCATTTTTTTTTAATTTGAGCGTTATAACTCGCCATTTCTGCAAGGACCCTTAACAATGCCGTAAGATCATTAACATAAAGAAACAATTTTTTGTGCCTGAATCTAGGCTATTAGAAAGGCTATGTTAAATAAGAGTGGCTTCACCTAGTTACTTGTATCTGGCTCTCCTGCAATAAAGGTTGCACACCCCTGAGTTAGGGCAAAAGTCTAATATTATTGTGAAAATCGAATCTCGCCAGGAAAATATTTGCTTGTGCTAGTAAACGCATTGACACTTTGGTACTCCCAAAGTATGTGAACTAAGATGGCGGACACCGGAACGCCGTTGGTGTACCAGGTTAGGCCATAATTTCAGATACAAATAATACGGGAGTCACTTGGCTAGTGCCTGAACTCGTAATAGAACTAAAATAAGGAAAATTTATTCGATTCCCGATTAGTCAGATTCATCCGATCTTCAAGCATTGAAATCCGTAACTATGATTGGTTACTGGCTTGAGCCTGGTTTGGAGTCGACAAAATGTACAAACGGTTAAAGTCTATCCCCTCGAAAAAGTCGACAAAATGTACAAACAGTTAAAATCAACTCCCTCGAAAAAGTCTACAAAATGTACAAACAGTTAAAATCAACTCCCTCGAAAAAGTCGACAAAATGTACAAACAGTTAAAATCAACCCCCTCGAAAAAATTCGACAAAATGTACAAACTTTTATTAATAGTAAAAATCCATTCCCAATTTGCGAACCCATTGACAGTGAATATGATGAAAAGATATTTTAAGTCAAATTGAAACTTGGAATTTAGTTGGATACATACTTCAATAATAATATGAAAAATTGTAAAATATGCAAAAAAATGTCTGTGAAATCCATTGAACATTGAGAATAAACATGCAGTGGTTGAAGCTCAATATACAGCACATACTGATCATGATGACAGTGCAATAAGAAAATGCAAATATTTAATTAAATTTCTGAAGTGAAGAAAATGTGATTAATACGAGCATTGAATGGTCTGAAGTAATATACAGGGTGTCCATAAAGTAACTTCACAATTTCAATTTTGCTATGAAGTCAGTTCCCAATATATCTCAACCAGAGGCCCCGCTCGCCTGTGTGAAGGCCAAAACAATATATGGTATCGATAAATTCCATTTGCAATTTTAAAAAATTTAAATCTTTATGACTGTATAGTATACAAAAACAAATCCTATTACTTGGGGATGTGAGCTAACAGGGTAAAAGATGGTAAAATATTTTTAATCAAAATGAAATGCTTGAAGAGAGATTTAGTTGGGAACATTGTATAAATCACACACTCGAGTCCTGATATGTTCAGGGTGTCTGATCTTTAAGCATTGTGGCAGATTCATATGTATAAATGGATGCTTGTTTGAGCCTTGTATGGAGATTAAACAGACAATTTATACAATAAACTATTTTTGTTGATAAAAAATGAACCAGTTGAATAAAATTAAAGCTTGAATGACTTATTCCCTGCGACAAGGATTATTCGATTCACTGTTTGTGGATTCTACTAGACAATGAACTTAACCCCGGTATCAGCAATCAATGCTTTGAATCTTTCCAACTGATCTTTGTTGGAGGAGGAATATGTCATCTCCAATGTTTCAATCTGACATTGATGAACAATATCACTGATTGCAGATAATCCTTCATCTCCGAGGTCACTGACTTGGTTCCGACTTAGATCCAGGAGCTTCATCTGAAAATATTAAGTTTTTCATTTTAAAATCACAAACAGCAACGCAAAGTTAATAAAGCTCTCCTAGATGATAGAATATTCATAGCTAAAGGCAGAATGTATATCAGTGAAAGCAGTGCTGGATTTAGAGGGTCTGTCTAGATCAGGGGTTCTCAACCTGGGATTCGACTACTAGTTCGATTCTACGCTTGGTTCTTATAAATCTGTGAAACATCGCGAATTAGATTATTTTGATGTTGCTGCAGCAAAGAATTTCTAATATGTGAACGAATAATATGATAAAGAATCCCAAGCAGAAAAGCTGTGGGAGGAAATGAATGAAGTGGTCTAAATAGATATCCACTGACACCAAAAGCAGGGAGCTGAAACTTGCAGTGCTCAAATGAATACTATGAGGAAGAAAATGCTTTACTGCCAAAGATTCTCCAATAAGAATTCATTTTATAGTCTTGTTTGAAGCTGAACCAATCCGTATGCGATGATTACCTAGTTGGTTTTCTGCAACACTAGCTATGGGGCGGCCATGGCTTAAGAGTTAACAAGGCATATACCGCAAACATGTTTTCACCATGCAAAAAAATTTCCACCCCTTATACCAAGTTAATTTTTTTTAAACATTCTGGATCAGATCGAAAACTGGAAATAGTGGAAAAATTGGCCTTCATTTAGCCGATACCGAAAATATGGCCAATATTGCAGATACCGATACCTGATACATCTCTAGTAGGTACTGTACATAAATCTCCAGAGTCCAAGTCAAGTCTCGTATGAAAACGATTCAAATCAAATTTTAACTGTGTCAGGTTCACCAATTAAAGCATTGAAACCAAGTCCATTCGAGTCCTCAGTACGTCATGATTCAACCGATGGACTCGTGTATACAATCGCCGAAGAGTCCCAAAATGGATGAAGGGAAGGAATTCATCGAAGACTGGGAACCACTGAGGTAGAACATAGAACCACCTGAGCTGGACTAATTTCTATGATACGAGTTGGAACAATTAGTGATCTTGAATAGAAATACTTTTACCAACTTCCAATATTAAGTTTACCTTCAAACAGGAACCTTCTAAATTTGACTTCAGGATATGAACCAGTTCAGCATTGAGATTGGAGTTGAATAGACAAATCCGAGTTAGTTGGTTGCAGCGTCGTATATCTGATGACATTACATGCATTCCTGCTGTAGTGAAGAATTTTCTTCTTCTCATCTTGTCTGACATCTGGTAAGTTAAAAATAATTTCAGTTTGGGAACTGTAAACATGATCTTTGAGACGGGGGTTTGCATCCAGTGGGACTTATTAGGAGCTAACAAAATACTAGATTGGCCATAGTTATAGGGCAGTACAAATAGCATACGGTAACTACAGGCCTGGCTCTCCTTAGCCAGATTGTATGTCACAATTCAATATACAATAAATCAGTCTTGTCAACTTTTTTCAAACCCATGAAAGTTAAGAAAACAAATTCAAATATGGGGTGCTCCAGAAGTATGTGCACCAAGATGTCACACAACCTGAATCCTAACCGATACACACAGGAGATCATTCAGGAGGTCCAAATATGGTATAAAAGAGTAAGACATAACAATACATTTAACTTACCAGAAGAAAAGTTTGTTACGAGACTGCTTTCAATATCAGGATTCAGAATAATTCCACCCAATAGATGGCGAACAACTGCCCAATGATCATCTCGGAACTCAGTTTTGATAAATGTGCGAAACGTAGTAGAATCCATGTTTGAAATATAGAGAGCCGATAAAACTTCTTGATGGACTTGATGGCTGAAGAACATCCTTCCATGAGATGTTGGTTAAACATGTTTTTCCCAGGTACCTTGATGATAATGTCACGGAATGAAGTTGAAACTTTGGATCTTAAATTGTGAAAATGACTCGTTTCTTTTTTGTGCCTCCGAAGGAGTTTTTAATTTTTTTGAGAAAAGTACATGGTGAATATTACACATAAATATATTAAAGAAGTGAACGTTCGTACATATAATTTGGATAGGATAGAATTCAGATATTTATTTCGAGCAGAGGAAAGAACTTCGTACAAGTAACGTGAGCTACGGTATTCTATCTCAACTAGCCTAGATACTTTTGATTTGCCAAACTTCAGATCTTGTCAAGCTTTGTTTGCTAACGTTAAGTGACCAGTACTAGGCCTAGATAAGATGGGTGTCCTTATAGTTGGCCTGTCTCGACAATTTTTGCATATCTAATCTCTAACCCCCACATGACTACGTCATCAGGAAATTACATCACTGCATCACCATCGCGTCATAGAGCTTTCTAAAGTATAGTTACGCATCCGAAATGGCATCTGTGCAGCGATCTCTCTTTTATCGCTGTATCGATATCGTTTCGATGACAAGAAATAGGCTAGCTTGCTCAACTTCGGATGATTGTCTGTGCAACCATCCGTATACTTTTGAGGGCCGTATTACGTCATTGCGACTTCGCAGTGATGTAATTTTTGGATGACGTAGTCATGTCTGCATATGGGGGTTAGAAATTAGATATGTAAATATTGTTGAGCCAGGCCAACTAGAAGTATATGCGGCGCATACTTCAGGAGACCCGATAAGACTATATGAATACAGAAATATAACGTTATCAGTAACTTATATTGCGAGTCTAACTTCTGAACTTCGTACCAGTAACGGGAGCTATCCTAACTAATCTTGATTTGCCAAACTTGCCAAAAGGATTCTGTACAGGCTATTGCTGTATTGGGCTCATTTATCTGTTTATAACATGTTTGGTGAGTCGAGCGGGAACAATTTATTTTTCTTTTGTGCTTAACTTGGAATTACACAATTTTAACAGCTATCATACATTTTGTTAGTAGCCTACTGAGCACATAACTTTCTTATTCAGGATGTTGATTTTATTGAAAATGAAGATGATCACAGTATTGGGACCTACAAGTAGATAATAGCAGAGGAACTAAATGAGAGAAATATAGCAGATGAGCAGTGCTGCAGTGAACAACTCATAGGTGAGTCTTGTTATTTTATGTAATAAATTATGCAAGTCTAATAATAGTACATGTTTTTAAATCTATTGCGTTGTATTTGGGTGTAAAATACAGTGCGAAAATGAATAAAATAATGTCACCATCACAAACATATTGTTGAAAATAACTTTCTATTCAGGATGTTGATTTTCTTGAAAATGAAGATGATCACAGTATTGGAACTCACAAATAGCTAATAGCAGAGAAACTAAAAGGGTGAAATATAGCAGATGAGCAGTGAACAACTGATAGGTTGGTACATGTTTTTAAATCTAGTGCGTTGTATTTGGGTGTAAAATACAGTGTTGAGAATGAATGAAATAATGTCACCATTACAAACATATTGTTGACATTTTTGATTCTATATAGCCTATATGTAGATGTATGATGATATCACTCTATGCTTTAAAATCATGAAGAGTTAGAATCAATACTTATTACTTATGTCTAGCCCTAGTGGATTGGGATATAACTTAGTTTAGTCTATTTCAATATGACCTTGGTAAAAAGAAGACAAACTGAAAAAATAGCTAGTCTGTGTTGTTCACCACTTTTATAAATTACTATCATAAATTACTTGTCCAGTACAAGTACTCCAATTCAGTTGGAAACATTTTTATTGAATATGTTCGAAGTTAACATGCGACCCTTTTTCTACTGCAAAAGACATACTCATCTAATCTCTTTTTTTGTATTTTTAGATTGTAAGTCCATTCCAATGATGAACTCTGAATTATCACTAGATCACAGTTCGAATGAAAGCTTTAATTACACAAAAGCAATGGCAGTGATGGACTCTTTGTTACAGGATTTTCAATCTACAAATACCATTAGATAGCAGAAAAGCTTGACATTCATTACAGCATACTACTGCTCCTGCCAAATGAAGAATTCCCATTCAAAAAACAAAAAAGGCGTACCTTGACTTTCTCATTACGACTGTATTTATTTGCGACCTTTAGTAGTCAATTTCGCCGAATATTTACTGTTTTAATAAATTGTTTAAAGCTTGAAAACCTGTTGTGGTTTCATGCTTCCCTTGGATGGTTATAGTACGTTTCCAGGCTTGCAAGAAGGTTGATCTTCCTATCGATTTGGGTGGGGTTGTTAGGGTGGAAATGTTAAACACCTACCCAAAGGGTGGAAGAAGTAGAAAACCTTGTGACCCAAATATTTCGGTGGGAATTACCACTTTCTGCATTTAGAGTGTAGCTTCGTAGGTATCGAGCTTAGGGATTTTCCGGTACTCCTGAGTCCTGAGGTATGCGCACCAAGATGTCGCATAACCTGAACCTTAACCTGGTACACAACCTGAGTTCAGGTTGTGCGCCATCTTGGTGCGCATACTTCAGGAGGTCCGATTTTTCTTTAAAATAATTCGAGTGACATCATTGCGATAGAGCGGAATCAATGCTCAAGGTACAGACCAGAATTGTCGAATTCATGCTTCGTTGGGACGAAATGCAAAATCATTCTCGTCACTGTCAAGTTTATGTTAATTCACGTGACGACATAACTGGCGTTGTTAAAAACGTTTGTGACGACAAATTGGTATTATGACGTTTAAAGTAATTGAACGTGATTGGTTGATGTTTCACGTGGGGTCATTAGTTTACGATTTTGCTGTAAAAAGTTGGTTCCTGTTTGGCAGCGTTGAAATATTTTTAGCTCTACGAAACCGTCTTATTTGCGTGAAATGTAAACTTGGTTGCTGCAGTAATATGTTGAGAAATATATAAGTTTACGGCACGGAATGGAATACGGATACTGGGGAACTCGGGAACCGACTCTGGTAAGTAGCCTAATTTATCTAGTTATTGTTTTCGCATCGTCGCTTCAACGAATTGGATCTCCGTTTCGATCACTCGGCTAAGCGCGTCATGGCTTCGTTTTTAACTCTATTATTGTCCGTAGTCCGTTGTGACTGTAACATCTGAAAGATAATTTCTTGTGTCGCGAGATCGTTTGTTCACAGATACTACTACGGTAAAAGATTGCGTGCTCGTACTACTTTGTTTTGGCCTTTGTGTCATACATTCGATCTCACGCGTTTTGAGAATTTTGAGTTAAATTATTTTGATTGTGGAAACGCAAAAAAAAAACTGATTCGAGAGAGGGATAGGGTCAGTTAAATTATTTCCCATCGGCATCATAGTAATTACTGTACTCCTGAAGTATGCCTACCAAGATGGCGGACACTGGAACGTAGTACCAATGTGTACCAGCTTAGGATTAGGCCATAATTTTAGGTACGAATACTACGGGATTCACTTGGCTAGTCCCCGAACTCGTAATAGAACTAAAATAAGGAAAATTGGAATAAAATTATGGCCTAACCCTAACCTGGTACACATGTGTCCGCCATCATAACCTGGTACATATACTACGTTTTGCTGTTTATATTTAATATATTGTGATATGGCTGTTCTTTCACTTTGATTTCTTATTTTTTGTGATGTTAACTTTCTTTCGTCGTCTTTCTATTATTCATGATCACTGTACATGGTATAATTGTTAAAATAATGCTAAGTTGCAACCTAGCTTCGTAGGTAGTCGAGTAAGTATTCTATCCGAACAACCGATTTATTTCGTAGTGTAGTAGTATCGTTTTGAATATTGTACTTTGAGATGATTCCAGATTTCTAATTATTGGAAACTATGTTATACATCGTTGTATCCTTGGTAATACGTTAATTCTCGATTCAAAAGACATTTATCCTATATATCTTCGAATTTATATTCATATATTAAAAATGAAAAATCCGCATTATACGCCCAAACATATTAAAAAGTATAATACACCTAATCCTCGCACATTTCAACATTTTTTTAACGCTTCGAATTAATTTTCTGCTGCGTTGTTTGTGTTCTCTTAGGCGAGATAATACAAAAATAGTTTCACTAGGAATGAAATTCATTGGAAACTTTGTGGATTTATTTTTCTTGTGCCATAACCCGTTCACGAGTTCTTCGAACGGCCAACCGAGCCTTATTTATCGAACGAAGCGAAATGTTTCATTTTATTTTATATCTGCGAGCAGGTGTAACTACATTTTGTGTGCGTTTCTAACCTTGCAGAGCGTCGGCGTTCCAGAAGTATGTGTACCAATATGGAGGTAACTAATTTTGTTCGCCGACTTTACATCGAGTTGTGTAACAGGACGGAAGCCTATGCGCAGGGGTATGTATATTCACTTGGCTAACACAGATATTCCCCGAACTCATAATAGAACTAACATACGGAAAATCGGAATAAAATTATGGTCTAACCCTAACATGTTACACATACTACGGGAGTACCGTTAAATTAGCACGTAATGTTTAACCAATAATTATTCAGCCTGAATAAAACGGGATTCAAAATTGACGTTCCAGAGGTGGAACTGTATGTATAATGTACATTGCAATAACTAGCTTATATTTCCTCATAATCAGAGATAAATTCGTATGCGGATCCGCGAGTAATTTTAACAAGGCTAATTTGAAACCTACAATGCGCAAAAGGTTGTTAAATTAACTTCAGTATGTACAGTATTGTTAATGACGGCAATCGAGAGTATTTTGGAGACGGACCAGTCCTGTTAGGGTTGGAGTAAAGAATTCCGTTTGCACCGAAAATTCAAATCCTTCTCAATCCTGTCTGGATAATTACTAATGTTGTTATTTCTAAACGTGGCTGCGGTGTTTTCCGGTATTTCAAATTTTCGCATTATTTTATAATTTTTCTTATAATTATGAAGTAATATAATTTTAACATGTATTTGTTACGGGTTTTAACTATTATCTTTATTATAATTACAAATTATGTCCGGGTTTTGTGGGGGCTCAGAACGGATTAAGTCATTTTCCCGTGGAACGTGGAAACAACGCATGTCACAAAATCGAGAACCAAAATTTTTTGTGTCTGCAACTATTAGAAAGCCAATATTAAAAAGGTGAGACCCGCGGTTTCATCCAGTTATTTGTATCTGGCCCTCGTGTGTTAAAGGTTGCACACCCCTGATCTACACAAATGGCAGTCGCCTACGTGTTAAGTATCTCGAACCCTGGTCGGATAATTTGCGAAACGCCCGATACAAAATTCTGGAATGACAATTGAGTTAAGTTTTGGTTACTCTACTTTTTACAGTTTTCAGCAATTAAAAATGAAGCCTTTTTATAAACACTGTGAGACTAAAATGATATTATCACATTCGAAAATTACTAATTATTATTAATAATACTTACTGTAATGTAAATGTAATGTCTGAAGTCAAGGTCTAAATCAGTGGTCGGCAACCACAGGGCCGCGGCCCATCGCCGGTCCGCGGAAAGGTTACTACCGGTCCGAAGAAAGGTGACATAAAAACGGACAAGGGCCTAATAACACCTCTACAATATAACCACAAACTCTACGACTAAAAAACAGCACCAGACAAACACAACGCATTGGTTATTGCTAAACGAACATCGAGCAATACCCACATATAGATACAGAAGCTGTACAGGCATTGTTAGCTCTCACAACATCGTATTTGTTTAAGGCCGGGTTTTCAATTGGAAAATTAAAAATTGGGAACTGTCCATTGCCAGCAAACAAATGTAGATCCCGCATCAAATAGCATCATCTTTGTCTTTGAATTTATTGTCAAGGTCAATTTTCAAACGCGTGTACTTTATTGCATAAGCTTATATAGTTCATTTGTATAAGGGCCAAAATTTTGTACATGATATACCGGTCCGTCACTTAGAAAAGGTTGCCGACCACTGGTCTAAATAGAGTCTTAAATTTTGCCTCAGATGTCGAGATAATAAATTTTTGAAAGAAAGTTTAAAATTATTTCTAAAATCGTATGTCTACTCTATCGAATATCACCAATTCGAATATTCGATTGGATTCCTAATTACGAAATCTTTTAATTACAAAGGGGCTTCCGGAACGAATCTTTCCGGGTCCGTGCAGAAATATTGAGTTAAAACGTATATTTAAAAAAAAAACTGCAATTCAAATTTATTGTCACACCGTCAAACTTTTATTTTTTTCTGTATTTTCCAACAGGATTTTACTAGCTAGTTTCCCTAATATGACAGGGTCACTCAGGTATTGATATAGGTTTTGCAACGCAAAGAGATTGAAATTGCTCGCACGCACCAGATTAACTGAAAACTCGTTTCGCGGGCACGCCATTCCAAAATGAGCACTTCTACCCGGGCCGCACAATTTTTCTTTGCGAACCGCAGTTTGCACACCCCTGATTTAGGCCGTAAACACTTCCATGTCAGTGTTTATTTCCCCTAAATTTTCTTCAACATAAATATATCTTTTGCAACCACAATGTTACAAATAATTCCTTTTTTTGTAACCGCGCATAATTGCGTACTCCCGAAGTATGCGTACCAAGATGGCAGAGACCGGAACGTTGTATGTGTACCAGGACAGGGTTAGGCTATAATTTCAGGTACAAATACTACGAAAGTCACTTGGCTAGTCTCCGAACTCGTAAGAGAACTAAAATAGGGAAAATTGGAATAAAATTATGGCCTAACCCTAATCTGGTACACATAATTCATGAGTCCTCAGAATTGTGCATTCGGTGAAAGGGGTTCCATTACATTTGAACCCATGACAATTGGACCTGCATACTATTGCACCTATGGAATTTTTTTTGTTTTACGGATATTTGAACCCATACTCACCCTAACCCATGGGTTTTAGCACCCGCATATAGATTGAACCCGCGGATATACACATGGGTTCAAATGTACATGAGTTCAAATGTACGGTCACGGGTGAAAGGTATTAAACTGATTGGTCGTAAGATGCTAAAGCCAATGAAGGAGTGAATACGCGATGCTAATTTGAAATCGGTAATACTTCCCTTATTATCCATTCCTTTAATTGCCTTTGAAAGTTTCCGTTCTACGTTATACAAGGTTGGAAACGTGACTTTTTTCCGGTTTGTGATGATATATAAGGTATTTAATTCAATTCCAGTTTATATTCAATCAATTTTTCTGAGAGACTTTATAG